GCTGAATTATTTGAGTTATTTGTATATTTTTGGATATTAATCCCTTATTGATGAAAACTTTGCAAGTATTTTCACCCATTCCATAGATTGTCTCTTTACTCTGTGGATTGTTCTCTTTGCTGAATAAAATCTTTTTAGTGTGATATAACCCCATCTGTCTTTGTTTTTGTTGCCTGTGCTTTTGAGGCCACATCCAAAACTTTTTGCCCAGACCAAATTCCAAAAGCATTTTCCCTGTGTTTTCTTCTAGTAGTTTTATAGTTTGGTGTCTTATATTTGAGTTTTTCATCCGTTTTGAGTTGACTTTTGTATATGGTGAGAGATTATGGTCTAGTTTCATTCTTCTTTACATGGATATTCAATTTTCTTGGAGGTAGCATTTGAGCTGAGCCCTGTGTGATGAGCAAGTGAGCCATGCCGAGATCTACTGGAGACGTTTTACATGGAGAGTCCAAAACAGCATAAGCTAAGAAACTCAAAAGAGCCTGGCCTGCTCTAGAAACAGAGGGAAGGCCAGTATGGTTAGAAGATAAATGACAAAAGGGAACAATATCTGCAGTAGTGTCAAGGAAGTGGCCAGGCACCGGATGACACAGGACTATTTAGGCCACAGTAAGATGTTTGTATTTTATCCCATATGCAGAGGAAAGATACTGGAGATTTTATGCAAGGGAATTAGATCTCCAGTCTCTGTAGGCAACTTTCTCCACCTTTATATTATATTGCCGATAAGGAGCAACTAAAAAGGGATAATTGTTTATGTAACATGCAGAACAGCCTATATGAAGGTTAAGTGAGGAGTCAATTTTTCAGGTTAAACAAAATTTTAGGTTTTTCATAGTGTAGGACTGAAATGTGCAGAAGAATTCATCTAGCCTAAACTTCCACTTTGTAGGTCCAAGTTCAGCATCTAGGTTATATTTAAAGACTTGAATAAAAAGACTACTTTTTCTGTCATGGGGTCTTCATTCAGTACGTCAAAGGTGGTGCTCAGAAATGCATATATTGGGGAACCAGCAGTTAGCGTAATGGCTATGTCGCTGGACTCCCACGTAGTCAACTGCGGTTCGCATCCCGGACCCAGTGGCTTAAAACTCACGCAGGGTGCATGTGCGTGTGTGCCCAAGATCCCAAGAGGAGAAGGGAGGAGAAGGGATTGCGGCGTGACCATCCCCTCTGGGGGGTGATTTCTCGCTTTCTGTCTCTATGTCTCTCTCTGTCTGTCTGGCGCGCACACGCGCCCTATAGTGAAAAACCTCTCAAAAAAAAAAAAAAGGAAATGCATGTATTGCTTCTGCATCCTGAATATTCTTGACTACTTCTTGATTTGGAGGTTGTGCTTACCTCATAGAAAAAATGCCGTATGAACTAATAAGACATTATAGCTGTGAATGTGTAGCATCTTGGGCATTCACAGTTCCATGCAATGCGGAGTGTGTGTGTGTGTGTGTGTGTGTGTGTGTGTGTGTTGTTTTTTATTTTTATTTATCCTTGGAAACCTAGTTGAAGATAGCATCAATGTATGAACACACAGTAGGTCCAAGTTCAGCATCTAGGTTATATTTAAAGACTTGAATAAAAAGACTACTTTTTCTGTCATGGGGTCTTCATTCAGTACGTCAAAGGTGGTGCTCAGAAATGCATATATTGGGGAACCAGCAGTTAGCGTAATGGCTATGTCGCTGGACTCCCACGTAGTCAACTGCGGTTCGCATCCCGGACCCAGTGGCTTAAAACTCACGCAGGGTGCATGTGCGTGTGTGCCCAAGATCCCAAGAGGAGAATGGAGGAGAAGGGATTGCGGCGTGACCATCCCCTCTGGGGGGTGATTTCTCGCTTTCTGTCTCTATGTCTCTCTCTGTCTGTCTGGCGCGCACACGCGCCCTATAGTGAAAAATCTCTCCAAAAAAAAAAAAAAGGAAATGCATGTATTGCTTCTGCATCCTGAATATTCTTGACTACTTCTTGATTTGGAGGTTGTGCTTACCTCATAGAAAAAATGCCGTATGAACTAATAAGACATTATAGCTGTGAATGTGTAGCATCTTGGGCATTCACAGTTCCATGCAATGCGGAGTGTGTGTGTGTGTGTGTGTGTGTGTGTGTGTGTGTGTGTGTTGATTTTTATTTATCCTTGGAAACCTAGTTTTGAAGAGAGCATCAATGTATGAACACACAGGACTTGGCTTTTCTGATGGGGTAGCAAAATGGTTTTAGAATTTTATTATAAACTCAGCAAGTTGGTTTATCTTATATGAATGCTGTTTATAAAGTCACGTTAACCCATTAAAATTGCTTTATGTCACATATAGGATGAAATTCATTCATTGTTTAGGTTAAATACTCACGATTATAAGAGACTTTCATGTTAAAACATGTAGGAGTTAATGCTCATATTTATCCAGCAATTAAGTTTGAATAATGACATAAGCCATCGTTGGTGCACTGTGTATGGGCGTACGCCTATGTAGCTGAGTATCCATGTACAGCTTCCTGATGATGTAGGCATACCTGTACAGTTTTGTTCAAATGAAATGAATGACCTCTGGAGGCATTTAGTTGAGCACTATGATACAGTGGAGAACAGGGAGCTAGATACTTAATCGTAGATGAATTTCATTTCAACTATACATGTATAATAGAGGAGGATTTGGGAAAGTTTACCACTCTCGAGTTTGTTTTTATTTATTAAATAGCATATTTGTATCAGGGAGAAAAGAATTCTCCGACATTCTTACTGCATGAGTTCAGGAAAGTTCTAAGAAGACAAAAGTAAGAGGATGAGAACAAAATAAAAACAGGCTCTGTGTAGCCTCAGAGTGTAGCACCACACAAATAGTGTTTCTTTACCTAAAGGTATTGAACACTTAAGATGCTCCCAGATCAACATTTCTGTGATTGAGAAAAGGGATTTTTTTCCTCTGGTTGTGTAAGCTAGCGGGTGTTTTAGCAAGGCCCAGTGACTATGAGCTCAGGAAGACTCTAATAACTGTGTCAGAATTATACATTCAGCCGACAGCACTTGGGATTGTTGAGTCGACTGAACAAGCAGCTTTTCTCCCATTGTCTGTTTTCTAGATTGATGAATAACAATTTTGTCCTCTCCATTTTGTTGTAACTCTTTCACTCTGACACTTCTGATTGCTGAGAGGTTTCTGGAAATTTTCTAAACCACCCATTGGAGTTAATTCAAGGAGATAATGCAATTGCAATTGAATCATCAGCGTTTCTGCTGTCAGATCTAGTGCTTTAGGAGTTCAGTTGGTTGAATTGCACAACTTTCCAGATTTAATATTACATAGTTGCCACTTTGCGTCTTGCCCTCAAGTCTTAATAAATGGGCTAAAGGTCTGATTGGAAACTGTGAGGTAAATTATATGTTTATTATGCCAAGTTAAGTAAATACTGCTTGAAAGGATTACTAGAGGGTACAATCAAGTTAATTGCTTTAAAAATCTTTTTTGATTTACTGGGCTCTGTGAAAATTGTTGAGCAATTGGTTGTGTCACAGTAAGTGATCAGAAGAGTAGCGCTGGGTCCCTGAGGTTTCTATGCACATTCCTTCCCTCATGCTTGAACAGTCCCATATCTGAGTGCAGCGCCCCCTGGGACCGAATGCAAGTACTGCTGACACTGTTGTTCCTCCGGGGAAGACACATGCTGGCAATTTGACCATCAGACTGACAGACTGATTTCTTTCTTTTTATTCTAGATGCTGAAGAATACCAGCCTCCGATATGGAAATCATACTGTGAGTACTTCTGACGAATCTGTCCAGAGTCTTTAGCAGGCCTGCCTTTTTGAACAGATCTTGTCACTGGTGTAGTGCCCACAGCCGTCTCGCAGCATGGTGCTGAAAACCCGGAACTTTCTTCTTCTTCCACTCAAGAAAGATATTATTATAGATCAAGAGGACTAACTCAGCACCTCTTCCCTGACCAAGACCTCCAAGATCCAACTGCCTAGGACCCACTTCCGGAGTGCTTAGAAAAGGGAGGTGTACATTCTGACTCACTGGCTTTCAATTCTGGGCTTTATTTTCATTTCATTTTCTTGCACAGTTGGTCGGCAAGGGTAATGTGTTGATTTGCATGAATTATGTTCTTGGCCGATCATCCTGAGGCTGTAATGTCATATGATTTCAACTGCTAAAAAATTAACAGATAGCAAAGAATAATGTTTGGTTACTAAGGGTGACTCCTTAGAAACGGAGATTGTGTCTTGTCGTTAGTCATTCAGCTCCCCTCACGAAGATAGGCAGTTGTCAGTACCTCAAACTCACTTCTCTCTCCTACTATCATAGGCCTGGCTCAGCAATTCTCAAGGGAGACAGGGAAGGACTGTGGTGGGTGGAAACTCACCAAGCTGAGATCCAGGGACAGGTCCTCATTCAGGCTAGACAATGACCTTCTAGGCGATAATTAGTACGATCCTACTGATGGTGCCATTGTTCCTACTGCCAGTTGAGAATCTGCAGTGTGCCAGTCTCTGCAATAAGCAACTGAATCTCAGATTCTCATGAAAGCCCTAAACATGGGGACTGTTATCATCTCCATTTTACATAGAAGAAAAACATGGCTCATGGAGCCATGTAATTTAGTGAAACCTTAGGTTTCACAAAGAGTGATGAGGTTGCCTTTAGAGGGAAACCCAGAAGCAAGCCTGACCCAGCCCCTGCAAGAATCTGACTTTTAACTTTTTGCTTAAAAAAATTTTTACACACAGGGACCAGCAGTTAGCGTAATGGCTATGTCGCTGGACTCCCATGTAGTCTTAAACTCACGCAGGCCGTGTGTGGGTGCGTGCGTGCCCAAGATTCCGAGAGGAGACTGGAGGAGAAGGGACTGTGGCGTGGCCATCCCCCCCACCCCCGGTGGGGGGTGATTTCTCACTTTCTGTCTCTCTGCCTCTCTCTGTCTGGCTGGTGAGTGCATGTACCCTATAGCAAAAACCTCTCAAAAAATTTTTTTTGCACACATGTATTTTTAGATATATTCGGTTATTGGAAAAGTCATGATGCATATTTGCATATAAAAATACTTCATGACTTTTCCTACGACCCATTACGTACAGGTATGTATTAGATCATCTTCAAAAGGTTCATGGAAAATGTGTATTCAATAAAAAGTATGCATAGATTTCAAAATTATTTGCATCAAAAAACTTTAATTCTATTTTCTATTATCTTTTTAAAAAGTTTATTTGGTTATTTTTTTCCATGAGAGAGATGGGGGCGGGGGGACATAAGCAATATGCCCCAACAGAGACTTCACCCCACAATCCACTCCATCTCAACTGGCCCGGATCATGGGCACAAGCACACCCAGTGTACTCAGGGAGGCGCCAGGACAAACATTTCCCACGTGGGTCCGGATGCTCCAACACTGCTAGCATCTGGCCCTCCATGAACTTTTTGAAGCTCTCCTCCCTCCCATACAAAAGCAATACAAAGCTGCATCAAAGATAAATGTTAGATGGGACCAGCAGTTAGCGTAATGGCTATGTCGCTGGACTCCCATGTAGTCGACCGCAGTTCGAGTCCCAGACCCGGTGGCTTAAACTCACGCCCAGCGCGTGTGCGTGCGTGCCCAAGATCCCGAGAGGAGAATGGAGGAGAAGGGATTGCGGCGTGGCCATCCCCCCCTGGGGGATGATTTCTCACTTTCTGTCTCTCTGTCTCTCTCTGTCTGTCTGGCGAGAGCACGTCCCCTATAGCAAAAACCTCTCCAAAAAAATAAATAAATAAATAAAGGATAAACGTTAGAGAAATACAGCTAGCCAAGAGTAAAAAATTCTCATACTCCGCAAACTGGAAAATGGAGTCTTACCCCGAATTCCAGTTCTCCCTCTTTTCAAATAACTGAACTCTGTAGATTTTGGAAGACATAGCCTTCCAATTGTTTAAAAAACACAGTCTTTATATTGAGGCAGTTTTTGTTGTTCTGTTTTGTGAAAATGGCTTTATGCTGTACGTGGTGTCCTTCAACTTGTTTGTTTCACTTTACAAATATCATGTTTTCCATATCAGCAGCCTCAGAGTCACCTCATTCTTTATTACATGAGTCTGTTCTTCCATCTGTGAAATAAAGGGGTTGTGCTGGGTCTCCAAGGGCCCTTCCAATCTAATGCTCTGCAATCCGATCTTCTATTTTAAAAGGCAGTGCTAATGACTTAGTAATTGGATGTTTTTGTTTGTTTGTTTCCTAATGGAGTGTGAAGTGCTCTGACAGTAAATCAACAAAATATCTGTAGTGAGCAGTATTGGGTGTCCCATGACTTACTGCGCCTTGCACACTGCCATGCACACAGCCTTGCATATATTAACTACCCAATAAATATTTGTTGAGTGAATGCCACCACAGAGAGCTCTACTGAGGTGGAAAGACGACACTGGCTTAAATTCATGTCTCCTTTTTCTAAGAGACCTTGGGCCACCTATACATCTCTTTAAAGCACATCTGTGTCCTAAGGAATCTGGAAAAAGCATTGCTAATTACATGTTCATGGTATCAGTTTTACCCTAGTGTATTGGTTTTAATTTTGAATTTTGTATCAAGCCAAGTTGTGTGTGTGTCTTGTTTTAAATTTGCTCTGGAATCATAAAACTTTACTTACAAAAGGGGTGGTTGAAGCCATTAATACAAACCTAATGGCATAGATGAAGCTCTTTTTTTATTAGACCCAGCTAATACTCCTCCAGACTCTACTGGAGGGCTCTGGTGATGTGGAACTCCAAAAACAAAGGAAATATACCATGCAAAGCATTAAAACCTGTTGACAAAGACTTGAAGAACACTAAGGACTCTCTTTGAATGTTTCTGGAACCATGAATCTTTGAGTTTGAGTGTTAGGCCACTTAAAAATGTACCTCACAATATTATTATCAAGTTGATGCTACTCCATTATATTCTCAAGACTGGCTTCCATTTACTTAGTCTTTGTTTTTTTCCCCCCTAAGGCGTCTGAGAGCCTTTCAGATCTTCGTAAAATACTCTAAAAAAATCCAAATATGCTAAAACTTTAACATTTTCCTGATCTGAAAATCCAATAAAGCGGTCTGTATATTACATTTATTTTATTTTAAATAACCTGTTGGTAAACCCATTATGAATGTTAGAAATCATTTCGCCTCTCTTCAAAATGCTCACAAGTCATCATTTGAGATATTACTTTTAGAAACTGATATCGAATTCTTTAAGACATCATTTACAGAATCCATAGTCTTTGATTACAGATTTTAACCCTAACTCTAGCAATCATGTGATACTACCAAATCTCTCCTGTATGACCCACTGCATCCCACTTTTGCCATAGGACAAGAGATTCAAAAATTTTTGAGATATATACCTATATCTTTGCATACACTTTGTCTATTATTGTGCTGTTGACAGACATACCTGAGACTGGGTGCTTTATAAAGAAATAGAGGTTTATTCGACTTGTGATATGGTGGCTCGAATGCCCAAAAGGGGAAGACTGGCATCAGGTGAGCCGTGTCACAGCTTGGCTGACATGAGCAGAGAAGATGGTGTGTGTGAAAACTTACGCCTTCTCAGGAGTGATAGAACTCACTCAGTCTCTTACAGTATAGCATTAATAAATTCATGAGACCAGTGCCTCCGCAATCCAATTTTCATGATCCAGTAACCAGTCACTAGGACCAAATTCCAAAAACATGAACCTTTGTGACACAAACCACTACTCAAACCACAACAGTAACTATTGTTGGTTATAATGTAGACTTATTAATGTCAGGTTCTTGTTATGAAGACTAGTAGAAAACTAGTTTACTTCCAGTGATTCATTTTAATCATCTGTTTCTAAGTTTTAACACTAATCGCAATGCCCTTGGCTGCAAGTAACAGAATACTTCACCCAATCACACTCATTGACTTAAGTAAAAAGTTCAAAGGCACTGACTTAGGCATTACTTGTTCCAGCCACTCAAACAGCATTACCAAAGCAAAGTTTGTATCCCTTTCTTCCTTGGCTCCACTTTCCTGAGCTTAGCTCTACTCTTCTTCCCTTGCGATCCCCAAATATTAGGTCATCAGGAAAGTTATGATATATTTTTCTCTTTTTCTATGTAAAAATATGTCATGACTCTTTTGATGACCCAATAGTTACCAACAATACCATTGGTTCCTCACTCAAGAGTAGGTGGCAAAAGAACAGTCTACCTTCTTGGCATGTCAAGCAAAGTCTCACAAGTGAGTATTAGCTCTGATTGACTTCAGTTATCCATTTCTGACTTCATCACTCTGGTCACAGAGTTGGGATGCTAGCTGCCCTGAACCAAGAATGACCCACCACTGGAACTCAGGGAAGGATCCATCCTATATAACTTCCCATGACTGGGAAATTTGGAGTAAAGCTGGGAGAGGGAAGATGAAAATAGTGGTTCCGGGACCCCAGATGTCTGATTTAGAAATTTGGAAGAGTAAGGAACCTTAGAAATCAGTACTTGAGTATTTTATATATGATATAATGTTTATTAATTTATTCATTCATTTGGAAAATGTATATTAAGTCTGTGCCCTAAGCCACGCACTGTTCTTGGAGTTGTGAGACCATGGGCATGGATAAGATTGGGTCTTGACTCAAAGATCCACAATGTCGATGATGACCCTTAAATTCCTGCCCTCTCTGCTCCTCCCCTTTTCTTAGAAGCTAATGCTATCACTTACTGAACTATTTCCATAGAATAATCTTATCCCAAAGTTCATATGGACATTGGCAGCTAATTCTTCT